GTGCTGACACAGGCAAAACCCATTACCATCAAGTCAGTTCTGACTCATAGCAACCCCCATTGGGTTTCCAAGGTGGTAAATCTTTACAGAAATAGATTGCTCTATCTTCCTTCTGTAGAGCGACTGGTGGGTTTGAACCACCATCCTTCTGGTTAGCAGTCAAATGCCTTAGGCATTGCACCACCAGAGGCTCCTTACATACATTCACACACACTCATATATATGCATGCACTCTCACACACCTGCACACACTCTTACATCTACACATAAACACACACACATACACACGTACATATTCTCAGTCCCTCCCCCACCAGCCACCAGCTCTCACCACCTCTTCTCACACATACATAGGATCTGTATTTGAAAGAGTGAAAGGCAGGTGGAATGGGGCTTGTGTTGATATTCTGCTCAACTGGCTCTTACTGCCCCACTGTCAACCCTAATCATCATCAACTAAATCTTGGAAATGACACAATACTTATTACAATAGCTATTATGTCCTTCTCTAAAAGAGGAAAGAAAAACTTAGGAGGGAAAGAAAAGACAATAATGAAGTCTTAAGCTAAAAAAAAGAAAAATCAAATGGACAATGATGTCCATCTTGTTTTACCTTTTGAGTTCTAAAATTTAATACCAACTGTGATAAATTCTATTAGATTCTTCCATGAATAAATCACGTATATTGTATACCCAGTTATAAAGCCAGGTAAAGTCAGCAGGATCTGTTGTTGTTATGTGCTGTTGAGTCAGACCCGACTCATAGCGACCCCTCCTTGGGCTTCCAAGGCGGTATCACTATGGAAGTAGATTGTCCCATCTTCCTTCCAGGGAGTGGCTAGTGGGTTTGAACCACCAGCCTTCTGGTTAGCAGTAAGTGCCTTAGGCACTACGCTACCAGAGCTCCTAAACCAACCCCAAGGAGCCCTAGTGGTGCAATGGTTAAGCTGGTAACCAGAAGGTTGGTAGTGAACCCACCAGCCACTCCACAGGAGAAAGATGAAGCACTCTGCTTCTGTAAAGATTTACAGCCTTGGAAACCCTATGGGGCAGTTCTACTCTGTCTTAATGGGTCACTGTGCATCAGAATCAACTTGACAGCAGTGGTTTTAATGGGTTTTAAACCCACCCTTCTAAGTCACAAAATTAAGAAACTTCTAGAGAAGCAAAAATTTTTATGTTTAATATTATCACTTAGAAGGGAGAAGAAATATTCCTTTTTTTATGTTTAATATTACCACTTAGTGGGAAGGAAAATTTCCCTTCTTGACATAAATCTGGCAAACTAATATAAGCTTTAAATCCTAAAATCTGTTTTATCATCCCAGTGCTCATATTCATCACATTCACGTGGGAGCTCTAGGGAAATCAGAATGCTAAGGAAAATGAATTTTTTGATGTGGAGATGCCTTTTTACTGAGGCCATAACCACACCACACTACCCCACCCTGAATGTTGGAGATGTGTTACTCTGACTTCACCCACAGATCTAGCTCTCTCTGGCCCATTGGAGAAGCAGATGTTTTTGTCACTTTATACATTTCTAGACATATTCTAAGCCAAGTGCCATATTGGTATGATTAAAATTCACTTGTGAGCCTTCATTTTCAAAGGAAACTCTCTCTCTGTTGAATGTTGATGAGGTCTTCCCGCAGGGTGAACCTCATAGTTTAATAAGGGTGTGTGCTTCAGAGACACTAGGTTAGTTGGAGTCAAGGTCATGTCTCTAATTGTGAGAGAGCAAGTTAAGGAAAGAGTTTTAAAAATCCGTGTTAACTTTTATTTTGATAAAATTTCGAACTTATAGAAAGTTTGCCGTAAGAGGCAACACACTTCCATACACCCCTCATGAGTGAATTTATGTACATTGGCTCACTCACTCCGTACCTTTCTCTTTCTCCCTCCTTCCTGGGTCTTTCCCTGACTTGTCCCTCTTCTCTCCATTCGTCTTCCTTCCATTTCCCTCTCATATCTTCCTCCTTCCTCTTCTGTTCCCCCTTCCTTCTCTCTCTCCCTAGGCCTTGTGTGTGTGTGTGTGTATTTTTTTTTTTTTTCCCCTCTAAACCACACAAGAGTATCTTGGAGATATCCTGCTCCTTTGCCTTTCGATCCTTCTGTGTGTGTTTCCTAAACTCTGAGATTTTCTCTCACTGAAGTACAATACACTGATCGAGATTAAGAACTTAAACATTGCTACAATGTTGACCTGGTCCATAGTCCATGTTCAAATTGCACTGATTTCCCCCCGCTAATTTTCTTTTTCAAGGAGCTCTGCTAGTTCAATAGTTAGGCATCCGGCTGCTAATCAAAAGGTGGGTGGTTTGAACCTACCAGTAATTCCTAGTGATCTAGGAATGATGATTGGGGCAATTCAACTCAGTCCTATAGGGTTGCTATGAGTCAGAATCTACTCCATAGAACACAACAACAGCAATGTCCTTTCTAGCTACACCCATTGGAAGAAAGATGAGGCAGCCTGCTTCTTTGGTGAAGTTTCCTAGCCTTGGAAATGCGAAGCAGGTTGCTGTGAGTCAGAATCAACTGGATGGCACTGAGTTTGGTTTTTTGGTTTTATCTAGGATACAAGGGGGGTTCAGGCATGGCATTCCACTGTCCAAAAAGGTTTTTAACCTAATCTGAATTACCAAACATCTCAGAATTAGTTCTGGCTGAGAGACTGCTTTGTAAAAGAATCCTGTCCACAGAAGATTCATAGACTAGATGGTACAAGAGTGCATATTTATGACCTAAACTGAATTTTATCACTAGAAAGGAAGGAAAGAGTCTTTTCCTATATTTATTCTCTCCACCCAGGTTCCTCTTCGTTCTAAGACTTTAAGAAAATGAACTGTGCAGGTCTCTATTCTCTTCCTGTCCTTCATGAATCTGGAAATCATTTCTTGTTGGTCAATTAAAGGGAAGCTAATTTGCCATATTGGGATGGAAATTTATGGGGAGAAAGAACCTTTGAGCAGCCCTTAGGAGGGACTTACCTCTTTGAGCCCCCAGTATTTCTGTTTTGTCTGGAAAAGGCCATATCTTCACCTTGACGTCTGTTGAGCATACTTCTAAGATTTCTTATTCTAAGAAGTAGCTCCTTATGAGTGGAGAAGAGCTGGGGAAAATGCCAGAAGACATTAAGGAGCACTCAACTGTAGTTTGAATACAAATGCCCTAGCAAAAATAGCACAAGTGAGGTTAAAGAAATAGAAGAAGCACAGGAGGTCACAGCCATCTTTCAGGGGCCCTGAGAGTGACTGCTCGAGGAGAGGACTGCAGGGGAAGTTCTTCATGCTCTGTGGAGAATGCTTTCCTTCCTTTCTTCCTCGGTGTTCCCTCAGCACCTGCCCCTCTGCTGGAGCACAGCCAGCCCCGCCCCAGCTCTTTATCCTGTCCACGCTCAGCTACACAGCAGGGTTTGTTGTAAAGGAGGGGTGGCTGTGAAGGAGGAGAGAAAACACACTGCCTCCTACCAACATTTTAGAACTTCCTGCCCTGGTATCACCCCACAACCATCATCTACACTCTTCCTCCCTGCCATGCTCCTTCCCCTCAGAGCCCTCCTGACTCCTCTGGCCTAAGGGCCTTGAGGCTCTTCCTCTGCCCCCATTCCTGCTTCCTGCCATCCCACCTTAGCCATATCACCCTCATTCCAGTCCCTACCTTAGTTCCTCCTCCTTTCCTGGTCCCTCTAATCACGTGGAAGCCCTGCTTCTGCCCCTAACTTGGCTACATCCGAACTCCCCAACCCCCAACTGCAGGCTGAATGAGTGCTGCCAGTAGCTTAGAGATTAAAGAGGCAGGGATTGCCAGAACCTTGGTTAGAAATGTTTGACAAAAAGCATTTTTTGAGTTTGGTTTTTTGGTTTATATACATATATGAAGGAGCTTTGGTGGCGTAGTTGATAAGGCTGCTCACCAGAAGGTCAGTGATTCAAACCCACCAACTGCTCTGCAGAAGGAAGATGGGGAGATCTACTTCTGTAAAGATTTTCGGCCTCAGAAACCCAATGGGTGTCATTATGGGTCAGAATTGATTCAAGGGCGGTGAGTTTGGGTTTTTTTTTTTTTTTGTATGTACGTATATATGTATTACGTATATATATGTATATATATGCATATATGTGTGTGTATAGGAGCTCTGGTGGCGTAGTGCCTAAGGCATTTGACTGCTAACCAGAAGGCTGGCAATTCAAACCCACCAGCCACTCCTCGGAAGGAAGATTGGGCTATCTACTTGTGTAGTGATACTGCCTCGGAAACTCAAGGAGGGGTCGCTATGAGTCAGATCCGACTGGATGGCAGTGAGTTTGGTTTTTGGTTTTAAACACCATGATATATAAATCGTGTGTGTGTATATATATAGATGTATGTATCTGTACACACACACACACACACACACATTCAGTCAATGGCACAGTTTGTCCTCAGCATCAGCTATATTATGGTTTAAATTTACTTCCTAAGCTGACGTGGTTGCCTGACTGCCCATACAGCATTGCTCCAAGAGAAAGCATTCTGAGTTCTAGAAAATCTTTTGATAGTCCACTTGATTCCTAATCAGCTTTCCCTACTGAATGAATAATTGACCGTGGTATTTGTGACCACACTTGGAAACAGTCTGCTCCTCAACTGTGTTTAGCTAGCTAGGTGAAATGGCACCCTCAAAACCCTGTCAACTTCATGGCCTGAGGACAATGTCTCTGTGTTTTGGTTTGTTTAGTATTTCAAGGGAACATTTTGGTGTCCCAAATAAATAGTGAAGAAAACCAAAGTTTTAACCTACGCTATTATTCATGGTGATCTCTAACCCAAGCTGGGAATAAAAAAGCCAAACCCATCTCAGAGACCATTTTAGATAGAGCACTCAGGGGCATCTCTGGTAGGTGTATTACTCATCCTTGTATGCCTGTGTTTGGGACCATGGAATGCTACCAGCTGGAATTCACATCTCTATCTTTCCTCTCCCCTATTCTCCCCTTCATACATCTTGTAAACAGCGGGTCACAGAAAGTCGAGAGAGCCAAATGACTATCGAGGAGAGGAAACACCTCATTACTGTGAGAGAAGAAGCCTGGAAGACAAAAGGCAAAGGGGCAGCCAACGACTCCACCCAGTTCACTGTGGCTGGCAGAATGGTGAAGAAAGGTCAGTGTGTGAGTGGGGGTGTGTGTGTGAGTGTGTGCATATGTGTGTGTGTGTGTGTACACATGTATATGAATGAGTGTGGGTACATGTATGGGAGTGTGAGAAAGTGAGTGTGTTTATATTTGTGTCTGTGCGTGAGTGTGTGTGTGTGTGGTAGTGTCCACCCATGGGGGGTGAGTGAAGGTGGTGTATGATAGCTCGATTTAAAAAAAAAAAAAAAACAAGCTGTGTGTTTTTTCACTTTTTAATCTTACTGAGGTTTTATGAGATATCCCTACTGGAAATCTTTTCGTTATATATAGTGTCATTTTCAACCTGAGAAACATAATCCAGTCAATCACAATTTCAAAATTTACCCATCTGGAAATTGAGCACAGGTTTTGGAATCAGTTGTAAATCTGCTAACAAATCTTTGTCTTTTCCCATAATTACTTTTAAATTGTTTCCATTTTCTTGTTATCTGGCAACTAGTTCACTCAAGTAAACCTTCCTTAAGAAAGAAACATTTCATCTCCTCTTCCCTGTAGGTTAATAACTAGTTCCCTTTGCATCACATCTGATTTCTTTGTCTTACAAAGCCTGATTACCAGATGTGTTTTCAGTAGATGTCTGAAAGATGCATCCAGTTCCCAGGAAGAGGAATTTCTCTGGAGAGAGTTATTTCTGTGAAGCTTAGCTCAGAGAGACTGTCCTCAGGCCATGAAGTTGACAGGGTTTTGAGGGTGCCATTTCACCTAGCTAGATAATCATATTTGAGGAGCAGGCTGTGTCCAGGTGCAGTCACAAATACCACTGATTTGAAGCCCATAAATTTATAAAATAGACATTTCACTTAGTTAGTAAGGTCCTCAGGGGAGCTTTGTGATACTATGGAAATGTACGGGGCTTGATTTTCTGTCCTGTAGGAAACGGTTAAAATTTGGGATCCTTTTGTGACCTAAAGGAGGTCTGGTGGTATAGTGGTTAAGGCATTTGACTGCTAACCAAAAAGTCAGTGGTTCAAACCTACCAGCTGTTCTGTGAACGAGAGATGGGGCAGTCTGCTTCTGTAAAGATACAGCCTTGGAAACCCAAAAAGGGTCGCTGTAAGTCAGAATCAACTTGATGGCAGTGAGCTTTGGTATTTTGTTTTTTTGTGACCTATGGATCACCAAAAACCTAGGTACAAACTGTTAGCACCTTGGCTGTGAACTGAAAGGTTGGACATTTGCGTTCACCCAAAGGCACTTTGGAAGAAAGACCTGGTGATCTACTTATGAAAAGTCAGCTATTGAAAACCCCATGGAGCACAGTTCTACTCTGACACCCATGTGATCACCATGAGTCCAAATCGATGGCAACTCAGTTTTCATTTTGTTATCTACATGCACATATTTTGATTTTCTAAGCCAAATTCTAAATTAACAGTAGAGGTTTAAATTTGAATTTGAAAGCAAAATTCTAAATTAATGGTAGAAGTTTTCACATTCACTTAGAGCAACTTACATTTTCACTAGCTTTATAGGTTTATCTCCTCTTTCTCAAAATCTTTAGCAATCCTCACTCTTCTGAATCATGCCAATTAGTGCCAATTCACTTCAGCTGTATGATAAAATATTGGCAGAAGACAGCAAGTGAGGGAAAACCCCTGAATTTTGATTAACTAAATCTTGGTGGAAGAATCCTTCTTAACAACCTCTTCTTACTTAATCTTGATATCGTCAAAAGATAGGAGAAGACAGTTTGCTCTCATTGAAGAGGCAGCACCTAACTACAAGCATACCTCGTTTTATTGCACTTCACTTCATTGTGCCTCGCAGATGTTTTTTTTTTTTTTTTTTTTTTTTACAAATTGAAAGTTTGTGGCAACCCTGCATCAAGCAAGTCTATCGTTGCCATTTTTCCAACAGTATGTGCTCACTTTGTGTCTCTCTGTCACATTTTGGTAATTCCCACAATATTTCAAGCTCTTTCATAATGCTATTGTGTACTTAATAGATCACAATGTAGTGTGAACATAACTTTTATGTGCACTGGGAAACCAAGATATTCACATGATTCACTTTATTGCAGTGGTCTGGAACCAAACTCACAGTATCTCGGAGGTATACCTCTACTTTCTTTAACAAAGCATGGAACTGTGCAATCATGTTACACTACTTCAACATGAGTCTGTCTCTGTTTTAGCAAAAGAGGAGCCTTGGGCCCAGAGCAATCCAGTAGAACTCAGGCTGGGAACTTGGCCTAGAGCATGAGTCTTCTAACTTAATTTCTAACACAGACTTTTATCCTAATGGCTTTCTACTTTGGTTTCTTTTCCTATCTTTAAAAAAGAAAAAAAAAAAAAAAGAATTTATTTGTAAGTGGGCCTTTACTCTGAAATATCACCACACCTGTCTACAGTAATGTCAGAAGTAGAATAACCACCTTACACTTCCCAGTGCTTGGCTAAACCAGGAGCTTAGAGGACCGTTGTCTGGCTAGTGCTGAAGTGACTGGATAATTTTCCCTTAGGGAGGTCTGGAGAGCAAGGTGAGAATAGTTGCTATACCTCAGAGAATGAGTTTGCTTTTCCATTTTCCTGAATAAATCAGAGATCTTTATTTAACTAAGGCAGTTGACTGCTAACTAGAAGGCTGGTGGTTCAAACCCACCAGCCCCTCCTCAGAAGGAAGATTGGACAATCTGCTTCCATAGAGATACCGCCTCAGAAACCCAAGGAGGGGTCACTATGAGTCAACAGCAGTGGACATACGGCATGCATAAGGCGCTCTGGGGCATAGTGGCTAAAAAGCATTTTGGCTCCTAACCAAAAGGTCAGCAGTTTGAACCCCACCAGCCACTCCACAGGAGAAAGATTAGGCAGTCTGCTTCCATAAAGATTTACAGCCTTGGAAACCCTATGGGCAGTTCGGCTATCCTAGTGGGTCACTATGTATCACAGTCAACTGGATGGCAGTGGGTATAGGGCATACATAAGGAGCTCTGGTTAAAGCATTCAGCTGCTAACTAAAAGGTCAGCGGTTTGGACCCACCAGCCACTCTGTGGGAGAGAGATCAGGCAGTCTGCTTTTGTAAAGATCTACAGCCTTAGAAACCCTATGGGGTATTTCTACTCTATCCTAAAGACTTGCTGTGTGTCAGAATCAACTCAGTGGCATTGGTTTTGATTTTTCGGTTTTAGTTGGCATGCATGAGGTCATTGGTGGTTCATTGGTAGAATACTCGCCTTCTATGTGAGAGGCCCAGGTTCAATTTCCAACCAATGTACCTGTCAGTGGAGACTTGCATGTTGCTATGATGCTGAATTAGTTTCAGCAGCTTTCAGATTAAGGCAGACTAGAAAGGCAAGCTTGGGAATCTACTTCTGAAAATCAGTCAGTGAAAACCCTTTGGATCATAATGGTCCATCCTTAACTGACCATGAGGACAGCACAGGACCACACAGCATTTCCTTCTGTTGTGCATGGGGTCACCATGAGTCCAGAACCTACTCAACAGCAGCTAGTAACAGCAGTGTATGGCTTGATCAGGAAGCAATCTTCTTGCACATCTGCTTATAATCTCATGAAAAAATTATACCCTTATTGTCCGGTATTTGTTACCACCAGCTGGGTTACATGTTTCACTTGTGTCACAAGCTCTTTCCAGTTTACAGAGACAGAGCTTCCAATTTACATTTGCTGCAGAATAAAGAAACCCCTACGCTTCAGCCTGCGGAGGCTGCCTGTCTCATCAGGCTATAATGGCACCCTTCTACAGCTCTGGGTGAACTCAGACCAGCAAGCTGCCAGGCAGTGCAGCCTGGTGCTCACTCTCTCACCCCATGGTCCTCTTTCTCCCCTAGCCTTGTTAGGCCGTCCTCCCTTTCTGAACCTTCTAGATTGCACTTAACAATGAATTAGTTTTCCGCAAGATCTTTGAGGTATCCTAGGATGCTGCTGGAAGAAAAGTATTCAACGTATACCTTTGAATAAGAGAATGTGAAATTGTTCCCAGGTAACTAGTTATTGAATGTAGCATTCTTTCTTTCTTTCTTCGTTTTTATTGTGATTTGGGTGAAAGTTTACACAGCAATTTCACTTTTCATACAGCAGCTCACATACTCTTTGTCTCATGACATTGGCTGCAATTTCCCACAATGCAACAGCTCTCCTCCCATTTCCTCCCCATAGCCCCCTCTTCCCTGTGTCCTTCCCACCCATGCACTCCTGCCCCCGAACTGTCTCCCTGTACGTACACAGCCCTTCTCTTCTCCCATGATTATTCTCTAAGGAGTGTATCTACCTAATGCACATGTTCAGCTCATATGCCTGTCTTTTGTTTGGCTGGAAGCCACAGGAGTGGGTTCAATTCCAGACCTGAAGAGCAGCTAGGGGCCATAGTCTCAGGGGTTTCACTGAGCTCTATCAGACCAGCAAACTTGGTCCTTTTTTGAATGTAGCATTCGTTTTTAAAGTTTTTTTTTTGGGGGGGGCGTCCTTCTTATTTTGTATTCACATTTTGAATTTAAATCTTTATGCCCCACTACATTACCGGACACTCTGTATCTCTAATCGAAAAGACGTTCTCACTATCTGGAGCTCTTTAGCGTGTTGCTGCCAAAACAGGGCAGCAGGGGGCGATGTGGCTGCAGTTATACCCACAAGCTCTAACCATGCAGAGAGAGATTTAGCTATCGCTTTGGAAATCAACCTTCTGAGTCAGCGTTGTTTGTTAGCTGCACAGTTAATGACCTCCTCTGCTGATGGCTCCTAAGCATCCTTTCAGTAGATTATGATTTACCGTCCCAGTCTGTAATAAAAACCTGGTACACCAAATTTTACTTATCTTTATTATTCGGCAAGACAGTTTTCTTTTCTCACTGTAATAAAACCTTTGCAATTCTTGTAATTGAAATGGTTTTTTAAAATTTTATTGACACCATCTAGCAAATATACATACATATGGAGGAGTGCTTCTAGAATATTACCTAAAAGTTCAAACCGCATCTCGGTATTTTTCCTTAAAACTTACACACTATAATACATGCCTCTCTGGATCGCAGAAATAAATGGTAGAGTGATTCATTCATTTATTTTTCCTTGTAAGTTATACCCCCCCCCAAAAAAAAAAAAAAAAAAACATACTGCCGTTGAGTCAGATCCGACTCATAGTGACCCCTCCTTGGGTTTCCAAGGCGGTATCCCTACAAATCTGGTAGTGTAGTGCCTAAGGCACTTGACTGCTAACCAGGAAGGAAGATTGGCAATCTACTTCTGTAGTGATGTTGTTGTTATGTACCGTCGAGTCGGACCCGACTCATAGCGATCCCTCCTTGGGTTGCCAAGGCAGTATCACTACGGAAGTAGATTGCCCCATCTTCCTTCCGAGGAGTTGCTGGTGGGTTTGAACCACCAACCCTCTGGTTAGCAATCCAGTGCCTTAGGTACTATGCTACAGTGCCTCAGAAACCCAAGGAGGGGTCGCTATGAGTCGGGTCCAACTCAGTGACACATAACAGCAGCAGTCACTACAGAAGTAGATTGCCCAACCTTCCTTCCAAGGAGCAGCTGGTGGGTTTTAACTGCCGGCTTTCTGGTTAGTAGTCACATGCCTTAGGGACTACGCCACCAGAGCTCCTGTAAATGATAGTGACTTACATTTTCTCCTGATGTTGCTTAGAGTGTCCTTGTCATCTAAGGATTTCACATGTATTAAAAATGAATCCAAAGAACATTACCATATCATTTTGGTCATTGTAAATGTACTGTTCATTTCCTTTGCCAGCCCCTTTTACTTAGGTTAGGGAAAAAATATCCCCCCCTACCCCCCCTTCTCCCACCGACGTTTCTTGTTTCAGCTAGATTCCTTCTCTGTGCTGGAATTAGTTCTTTCCCCTTCACACATTCCTTGCCATTTATCCTTTAAAAATCCCACACACACATACTCTGCTTCTTCATAAAACCAAACCAAAACCAAACTCATTGCCCTTGAGTCAGTTCCGACTCATGGCAATCCCATGTGTGCCAGAGTAGAACTGTTCCATAGAGTTTTCTTGGCTGAAATCTTTATGGAAATAGATTGCCAGGTCTTTCTTCCATAGCACCACAGAGTAGTTTGAAACTGCCAGTCTTTCGATTGGTAACCCAGTGTAAACCATTTGCACCATCCGGGGACCTTAGGTTCCTCCATAAATGTATGTGGAAGCATATTGCCAGTTCAAGCCACACAAAAGACATTGCAGCATACTCTCCAACAATCACAAATCCATTAAAATCTACGCTCTTGTGTTTCTTGTAAAAGATTAACACTCCTCAGGTTATTGCTCAGTGCATCCACACTCTGAGTGATGCCCCCAAGGCCAGACTGTTCCTACCTGGAGGAGAACTCCAGTGCTAGGGGCCCACTTGCTGGTTAGCATGACACAGCTCATTCTTTACTTGCTCTGTGAGAGATGGTACAAATATATTTTCCCCTAAACTACCACACAGACACATTCACGGAGCCTCCAGAATTCACAACTCCATTAGTTTAAGTATATTCCGATTGCTTCATCCATTCTTCTGTTTAGTTTACATGACATTGGACGTGTTTCCCAACATGTCTTCATTGTTCACTTTGGAACGGAAGTTGCTCTGATACTTCGAAACAATAAAAGCCTGTCTACATTTGCAGTTGTCCTACATAGTTGTACTTCCTGCCAATTGTGTATGTATGTAAATGCTATAAATTATAAAATCTGCACTGGGGTTATTGCAATCCATCAAGGTTCTGAGAATTTCTAGAAAATGGAACTGAGCTACTAACTAGCTCCTTTGTTTGCTCTGCAGGTTTGGCATCACCTACCGCCATCACTCCAGTAGCTTCCCCTCTTTGCAATAAAACAAGGGGCACTACCCCAGTTTCCAAACCCCTAGAAGGTAAGTTGTCAAGAAACCCAATAGAACAATGGACTTGTGGTCAGAAGAGGACTTAGTGGCACTCTTTCATTGATGGTTTCTACTTGCTTAGATATTGAAGCCAGGCCAGACATGCAGTTGGAATCCGACCTGAAGCTGGACAGGCTGGAGACATTCCTACGAAGGCTGAACAGCAAAGGTAGGTAACAGATGCCCAAAGAGAAGCTTTGGTTTCTGTGCTTACAGAACATTAATGTGTGTCTTCAATGAGTATCAAGGAAGCCTAACAACACTTGCTCTTCTATCAAAACCTCTATGTCCCTATTTTGGTAACTTTTCTCCTCAACTGAGTTGTCTTCTTTCCTTTATAACTTCCCTGATCTGTATTTTTAAGCATTGTCGTTGTTGTAAGAGCAGAAATGAAGTTACTGATCAAGATGGTTTGGTTCACCAAGCTCTGATGCACTTGATAATGTACTTAATCAGAGCCCCCCAAAAAAACATTTGTTTCTGAATCTAAACCCCTGGGATATGAGCCAGTCAGAATTGTAAACTCAGTAATTTTGCTGTTAACCCTGAATGCAGATCATTGTACGTACGCAAAGTCAACATAACCTTGGTCTGATGAACTTTAAATTTTATGTATCAACCTCAAGTAAGGTAAAAGCTGATATTATTTCTTATAATCACAAAATATTCCTAAAAGAAAATTTTTATAAATAAATGTTGAAATAAATATTTCAATACAAAAGTCAGTAAAGTACACAGAATAAAATAGCTTCTTTTTAAAAAAAACTTTTTATTGTGATTTGGGTGAAAGTTTACAGAGCAAGTTGGTTTCCCACAATTCATGCACATTTTTTTTTGTGACATTGATTCAAATCCCCACAAGGTAACAGCACTCCTTCCAGTTCCTCCCTCTGTTTACTGTTTCCATTTGTCCTTCTTTCCTGTCCCTTCCTGCCTTATGTGAGAAGTCAAGTAAGAGCCATGTAAGCATCCGTAGTGCTGCGTGTGTCTCCAGCATGTTTCCTCTCCTTCTGCAACTTAGGGGCAAAACGATTTTTTAAAACACTATGGGGCATAGTTGGAGTGATACACATCATATGTTGTTTATTTGCTCGTTTATTGATAGTTGGTGGGATGCAAGAAACTGTCCTCACTGTCACTGGTAAATCTGTTAAAGAAGTGATGAAGTTGGATGATGATGAAACCTTTGCCAAATTTTACCGCAGCATGGATTATACTACACAAAGAAGTCCCGTGGAGCTAGACGAGGACTTCGATGTTATTTTCGATCCCTATGCACCCAAGTGAGTCATTCCAGTCTCATTTGTTTCCCTCACTAAGAACAGCTTCTTTCCTCTGCCTCCACACAGTGTTTTTACAGGGATCTTCCCCACTGTGTTATCTTCTGCAATAGAACTCCTTTGCATTCCAAATTACTCTTTCCTAGAACCAGATGCATAGTTCTGTGGGATGGATAAAATATTCATCCAACACAGATGTACTTTCAGGCAAAACAGCTTGTATACACAGCCTGTGGCACACATGTTGGTCCTGTTCCACAAAAATCGTCACTGGATTTTTTGACATAATTTGAACATGTTGTATGTTTTTATATTAGCATAGTTGTCACAGAAAATTTTATACCTGTCTTTCATTTGATGTAGTGAATTCTTACCCATAACATTGAAACAGTATTTGGATCATACTAGCTTAAATTAACACAGTAACTAGAAAAATCAATAAAGAATTTGGCTCACTTTATCATAATTCATAAAATCAGTGGGTCTGAGGGTTTTCTCAGTGAGTCCTAGATTCTCTCTTCACACAGGGACATGACTAAACCACCTAAGAGAAAGGTATTAAGGTGTTAGGATTCCTTCAGCTGCAAGTATCAGAAAGAAAACCAAGTTAAACTGGTTTAAGCAAAAAAGATGTAGAGGCATTTTACAGATCAGTCAGTGAAAGGGGCAGTCATGAGCTAGGTCCAGGCACATTAGCTTCCAGCAACTCATCACAATGTAATCACTCCTCCTCCCTTCCCCTCCCCTCCTCTCCCTTTGCTTCTCCCTCTCCCTCCTCTCTCCCTCTCACTTGCTCTCATGCTCACTAGTTCTCTCTGCACATCCCCTTTCGTCTGGCTTCACTATCAACCAAGTTGTAACCTACTAGTAGAAGATGACTCCATTGCTGAGTTTGTAGGTTACCTATCTGGCCCTCCTCCCATGTAGCTCCTCTTGCAGTTCCAGGCTTAATGTTCTTTGTTCCAGCTGAGCTCTACGTTCATCCCATCCCTGAACCAATCTTTGTGGTCAAGGGGATGGAAGATACTGATTGGCCAAAGCTGGGTCTCTCTTTCTATACTCCAGAGCCAAGGTGGGGGGTGGCAATGGAGTGAGGTAGTTCCTAAAAAGGAAAATCAAGATGCTGTTAGCAGAAGCGGAGTAGGGTATGCTGGGTAGGCAAAAATGACAGCTGTTCTCCACCACATTTACCTGTTCTGTCCACAGAATTTTCAGAGTGACAGTCTCCTTCAGAAGTCTCTCTTTTTCTGAGTTTACTCCCCATCAATTTCTCCTTAAGCCTGTCATTATATGTTTTTGTATATTAAATTGAAATGTTTCAATTTCCTACTTTAAAAAAAGAACAATTTGCTATTTCCCATTTTAAGATAATATTTTTCATAGATGGATATTTAACCATTTCTCAGTCTCCCCATCTAAATGTCTTTGTTTAAATTGTTATATGTAATAATTTAAGCACATTTATATGTATAGCTATACATGTTTAAACGTACATACACACATATCTACATGTATTTGTGTATGTATACATATATATACACACACACATATATACGTAGATAACTGTGTGTATGTACACTTAAACAAACGCACACAAACACATACACTAAAAAACAAACTCACTGCCATTGAGTTGATTCTGACTCATAGCTACCTCCATTGGGTTTCTGAGGCTGTAAATCTTTATGGAAGTAGATCACCCCATCTTCCTTCTGCAGAGCGGCTGGTGAATTTGAACTGCTGACCTTCTGGTTAGCAGCCGAATTCCTTATCCACTATGCCACCAGAGCTCCTTACACACATACACACACATACATAAATTTATTCAATGTTATTTATGAAGAGGACTCTAAGGTATAAGACACAGAGGGTATACTTTTGGAAGCTTAGAGTAGCAGCAGGAAACTATTGAGAGATCATGTAAATGGGTTCCTCCTCCTCCCTGGTCTGGTCTTCTGCCCCAGAGAGTTCTGTGAGTGTGTTTGTCATAATTGGTTTTGTAGTATTATTTTATTTCAGTTTATTCTTCCAAATGGCTACTTTTTTAGAGGAAGGTAATGGGTTAAGAACAGACTAGTTAAGGAGTGATGGTGAGAAAACTGAAAAAGTGTTGCCTAAGGTAAAGTTACAAGGAATTCTGGTGGTTACAGTGCCTAAGGCATTTGACTATCAACTAAAAGGTTGGTGGTTCATACCCACCAGCTGCTTCATGGAAGGAAGATAGGGCAATCTACTTTCGTCAAGATTTACCACCTTGGAAATGCGACAAGGGTTGCTATGAGTCGGAATCAACCCAATGGCAGTGAGTTTGGTTGTTTGGAGAATATAAAGTTTAGTCTGGAGAAAAGAAAATTAAATTGAGACAGAAAAGCTGTTGGTAAATTCTTGAAGGGCTTGCTAGTGACAGAAAAAGTAGAGATGTTGCCTACCCTATCCCAAAAGGAGAATTAGGCCACATGTATGGGTGGCAGGATAGGGAGATGACGCCTCGCTCCACAGGGGAAAAACTTGCTAACATCTAGCCTTGTGCAGCAGTAGACTCTGCTGCCCATGAAGGCCTGGACACCTCTCCAGGCAGAACCTGAGGGTGTGGGGTGAGTTGAAGGTTCTGCCATTGCCTGCACTCTTGACCTAAGTGGGCTCAAATTTTCCTTCCAGTTCTAGGATTCTGTGACTCCACATTGGGGCTGTGGCAAACAGGAGGAAAGATTGTAAGATTTATAAAGAAATCAGGAAATAAAATTGTGGAACCCAGTGCTTCAGGTCAGAGAACCTCAAGTAAGAGTTTTTCTAGTAAACTGGGCAGCTCTGCTTTGCTCCTCAGGCTGACCTCCTCTGTGGCTGAACACAAGCGTGCAGTCAGGCCCAAGCGCCGGGTGCAGGCTTCCAAAAACCCCCTGAAAATGCTGGCAGCACGAGAGGATCTTCTTCAGGAATATACGGAGCAGAGATTAAATGTTGCTTTCATGGAGTCAAAGAGGATGAAAGTAGAAAAGAGTGAGTATTTGGAAACTACCTCTGTACTTGGGAGCTGTGGGTTGGGGTGGGAGTAATGAATAGGGAGTGAGAATGTGGGCTCTGCTCTCTGTTCTTGCTTCAGGCTCAGCAGCTTTGCTCTAATCTGCCCAAGTATTTGGGATTCTAGAATTCTGAAACAGTAGTTTTCCTGGTGGAGGTAATGACATGAATAATCTTGATACTGTGAATGTGCTAGCTATCAATTTTATTTTCCTATAGGATTCATAAAGGGCAATGCTGGTACAGTGGTAGAAATCTCACCTTCCATGCAGGAAACCCAGGTTCAATTCCCTACTAGTGCCCCTCTGGTGCAGCCATCACCCATCCGTCAGTGGAGGCTAGTGCATTGCTATGATGCTGAACAGGTTTCAGAGGAGCTTCCAGACCAAGATGGAATAGGAAGCAAACATGATGACCTACTGCTGAAAACCAGCCAGTGAAAGCCCTATGGATCACAGCGATTTGGTCTGCTGCTGCCCATGGCGGTGGTGCAGGACTGGACAGCATTTTGTCCTCTGTTGCATGGGGTCACCACGGCTGAGGGTTGAGTCAACAGCAGTAGTCTGCATAAACCTATTTCCTAAAGCTTTTCTTAGAAATACAGTGTTTAGGTGAAATGGTTGTATTACTAACTGGTCTACTAAGACAGTATATTTCAACTTGCTTATGCCATAGAAATTGTGAAGGAGTCTTATATTTCTTCAGAGTTAGAATCTAATCCCAGTGAAATAATTTTTTTTTTTCTCCAGCATATATACTTGTTTAAGCAATAAGTTGGAGAAATAAAGACTTGTTGGCACCAATGTTATATACTTTTCCTCTTGTCTCCCATTCTTGGTGATTCAGGGGGTTGATTTGTGAAAACCGAATGCATTTGTTATTACGACTTCTCGCTATTACAGTCTTAGGTCCAAAAGCAAAGGACTTCAAGAGATCACTTTGTTTCCAGCAAAGACTAAAACTAAACCATCCTTTATAAAGTGTCTACTTTATACTATAATATATGAAGACTTTTGGTGAAAGGCATCCAACAGGCTTCCGCAAAATGCGTTCCAACATGTAAAAGCTGTTAGGAATGGTTACAGCTGCTTTCAGGGGAATTGCAGCAAATGAGTTCAGTGCTTGAGTTTATGCTAAAGTAGGTGGCCTGTAATGTCACTCAGTCCTTGTCTCTCTGCATGGTGAGGTGTAACACTTGTCAACATGCAGTTTATAACCTCCAATGTTGTATTTAATTCTTTGTACAGGGAATAACCTTTGACTTGCATAGTTTATCAGACTGGAGTTTGTTTCCCTTCCACCCTCAGGATGAACTTTAAAAGGAAAAAGATCGTGAGTCAGTGTTGAGCACTTTCTGATGGTAAACATTGTCATTTCATGTGAACATCTTGCTTCTCCCCGCTTTGTGTTTCCTTACTCAACCTGCCCAGTGTCCTCCAACTCCAACTTTTCAGAAGTTACCCTGGCAGGTTTAGCCAGTAAAGAAAACTTCAGCAACGTCAGCCTGCGGAGCGTCAACCTTACGGAGCAGAATTCCAACAACAGCGCAGTGCCCTACAAGAAGCTAATGCTGTTACAGATCAAAGGTATTTAAGAGTGGCATGGAGGAATTACACACTGGCCAAGGGGTTCTGTCTGGAAACATGGGGCGCCTTAGCTGCACCCTTTACTGCCTACAAGGGGAAGTCGCACACATTTTGAGAACCTACTGTATGCCAAACACTGTCTACCTCCTCTCATGAAGGGTCACAAAATCCCCGGGGGTAGGAAGTATCAGGCCTGCTGAGGCTTGGAGAAGTTAGTAAGGTGCCTGCGGTCACAGTGGCTGCTGTGAAATCAAATGTGCATGAACTGTTTTGAGTAAAACAAGTCTGCTTTGTAAATTTTCACCCACATCACAATAAAAGATTTAAAATTTAAAAAAAAAGAATCAGTACAGGTCAGAGGGAGAGACATACATTCCTGGAAGAGGAATCAGGGAAAACAAGGGTAAATGAAGTGGACCCAGATCCCACTCCAATACACTTTCTGTCATTAGCAATGGAAACAGAGAAGCTCTGGGCTATGAGGAAAGAGATGTATGCTGCCCCCTAGAGTTAACTCCTTCACATTAGTCATCAAGAGACCAAACCAAAATCTACTGCGGTCGAGTTGATTCCAACTCATAGAGACTCTATAGGGCAGAGTAGAACTGCCCCCTTTGGGTTTCCAAGGCTGTAAATCTTTATGAAAGCAAACTGCTTCATCTTTCTTCTACGACCAACTGTGGGGTTTGACCCTCCAACCTTCTGGTTAGCAGCCAAATGCGCTAAGCACTATGCTACCAGAGCTCCTTTGTCATCAGAGCAAAATATTCTCCACTTCTATTAAGCATTCTGGGCATATTTCTGCATAACTACTGTCCTTTGTAGTTTCTCAAAAAGATTCCCCTAGTGACAAGCTCAAATAACCAGTCCCTGTACCCATGTTCCAACCTAGTATAACTGGGAAGATCTGAAGCAGCAAATCATTGAAGAACCAGTAGTGAAACCAGAAGCCGCCCTGGTGGCTCAGTGGTTAAGAACTTGGCTGCTAACTGAGGGGTCGGTGGTTCAAACCCACCATCCACTATAGGATAAAGTGTGGCTATCTGCTTCTATAAAGATAACAGCCTTGGAAACCCTATGGAACAATTCTCCTCTGTCCTATAGGATCACTGTAAGTCAAAATCAATGGCAGTGGCTTTTATAGGTTATTGAAAGAATACGAGACAGTGCTTCTCTCCAAGCTGGTTACCCTATAGTTTTTGTGAATATTCCTGAGAAAAAAGATCCAGTGGAAGTCACACCTTCTCTTGTAGCCCTGCCCACCAGTTCTGACTTGTCCACGGTATGCCCAACAGAGGCTATTAAGTGTAGGAGGCTGAATGGGGAGGGTAGGCCTGGGAAAAAAGTGACGGAGCATGTTTGCGAAGTGTCCTGGAGGAAGGACCTTAATTAACCCACACCTGTGCTGTAAGGCCACACTGTTAATGGTCCTAACAGGATGGTGGCATTGAGGAAAACACATTAGCAAGAGAAAGTAATCAATAATGCCTTCATGTTGCCCATTTTAAGTCCCCCTTCACTCCACCAGGGTTCATGAGAACTAACATCAGTAGATGCTTTAGAATTAAAAGAGTTCAAAGCAGGTTGCTTTAATTGTGGGATGCTTCATGGTACTAGTTCTCTTTCCTGGGGAGACGCTGACTGTCTTGCCTCATGTTCAGGAAGAAGACACGTACAGACAAGACTTGTTGAGCCACGAGCTTCGTCCCTCAACAGTGGGGACTGCTTCCTTCTGTTATCTCCCCACTACTGCTTCCTGTGGGTAGGAGAGTTTGCAAATGTCATAGAAAAGGCAAAGGTTGGTATCTTAAAAATACTGTAATGAAGCACTCCTTTATATACCTATAGGATGTTCTAGCAGCTGTCAGATTATTACAGAACTTCTCAAATTCCAAGTATTTCATTCAAGCAAGAAGGGACTGGTAGTCTTTATTTCCCTGAGTATCTTTCAAATGAGCTTTCATTGTGTGCTTAAGTGGAATGTTCTGGAAGGATTATGACTTCCACTTCTAGTTTTTAAATCCTGGGTTTATTCTTACTCCCATGTAAAAAACAAGAAACTGGCACATAACTTCAAAATTGTTTATCATAAACTTATTGTCAATATGAAATTCTACCACAGACCTATTGATTGAGAATCTCAAGACAGAGAGCCCAGAGATTGGGTATTGTTAAAAAGCTTCAAAAGGGATCTGTTGAATATTTAAGATTGAGACCTATTGCTTTAATGAACTGATGACCCTTGGTTCTTCAGTTACATTTTTCTTAACTTTATTGAAAATACCCAACCACCAGTGTTCTCCAGCCCTGGGGTCACCATGTTCCCTTCTGATTTCAACATGGGCTGGGGCACTTAGCCATGGCTTTTCCCCCTGGGTAATTGTCTTCCTCCCTTAGGCCTCAGAACTTGCAACTTTAATTCAGACGAAGAGGGAACTCGGTTGCAGAGCGACTTATATCCAAACCATCGAAGAAGGAATTAACACACACACCCACGCAGCCAAAGACTTCTGGAAACTCTTGGGCGGCCAAACCAGTTATCAATGTATGAGTTTATTGTATTTCAGAAAATGATAAGATTGAATATTCCTTCTTCTGCACCAGCTCATTCTCCTAAACCAGTTACTTTTCAATGTTCATATTCTCTTTTTGTTCTTATCCCAAAGCTGCTGGAGACCCCAAAGAAGATGAACTGTATGAAACAGCCATAATAGAAACAAACTGCATTTACCGTTTGATGGATGACAAGCTTGTGCCTGATGATGACTACTGGGGGAAGATTCCAAAGTGCTCCCTTCTGCAACCAAAAGAGGTACAATGAAGAGGCTCTGTCCATCAACAAGAAAGCACACTTAAAGCACATAGCACAGGGCTTATTCATTAAAATAAATGGCAGATGCCTGATAAAGGTTAGCCAGGATTAGCACTGACTGTGGAATGCTTGTTGTTGTTATGTACCCTCGAGTTGGACCTGACTCATAGCAACCACTCCTTAGGTTTCCGAGGCAGTATCAATATGGATAGTAGATTGCCCCATCTTCCTTCCGAGGAGTGGCTGGTGGGTTTGAATTGTCAGCCTTCTGGTTAGCAGTCAAGTGCCTTAGGCACTATGCTACCAGAGCTCCCATGTGGAATGCTTACAACATTTTTTTTTTCCTTTTTAATTTTATATACTTTTTTTATTATTATTATTATTATTGTTGTGGTCTGGGTGAAAGTTTACAGAGCAAATCATTTTCCATACAACAGTTCGTACACATTTTGTTTCATGACATTGATTGCAATCCCCATAATGAACAGCTCTCTTCCCACTTCTTCCCTATAAGTTACCTTTTCCCTATGTCCTTTCCTATGCATTTCTGCCCTCTGAACTACCTTCTTGTGCAAATACTGCCTTTCTGCTCTCCCATGGTTGATTGTTCTAAGGAGTATACCCACTTGGTATAAATGTTCACCTTATAGGCCTGTCCATTGTCTGGCTGGAAGCCATGGAAGTGAAGTTCAGTTTCACGCCTGAAGAGTGACCAGGGGCCAGGAATGCTTGCAACTTTTGACAAGATATTGATTTGTGATATGAACCATTATTGCCATCTCAGATACTAAGATAGAATTCAGAATATTGTTCAGAGGATGCATAGATCATGGACAGATTTTCTTTTCTATTACAATATAGTTATATTTAGGCAAAATGTATTACCTAGCCCTAACCCTTGATTCTTGTATAAACATTAAATAAAATAGTTTTTAGTCCTTAAATTTAAGGAATAAGAGATGCATGTGTATATTATTTAGGGTTATGTGTTACGGAAATACACTTTTTTTAATTTTTTACCTCTCCTATCAGTAAGTATTTGCTGTTCTTGTTGTTGTTAGGTGATAGGTGACATCAAGTGGATTTCTGACTCACAGAGCCCCTACATGGCAGAGTAGTACTGCCCCATAGGGTTTCCCAGGCTGTGATCTTTACAGAAACAGACTGCCAGGTGTTTCTTTCACAGAGCCACTGAAGTACATATGTTTCTGGTCCAATAAGTATTCTAAGTGCTGAGAAAAAAAAGTAGAAGGCACAAAAGAGCCTTAAATTAAGTTGGGTGGAAGAGTATTAGAACATAATCTAAAGTTAGTTTGTATGACACAGGCTAAACAGGATATGGACTTTTAAAGGGGGGGAGGATATTAGAGAAAAAGAAATAATCAGGGATAACTTTAAAGAAAAAGTGAGACTGAGCCTGACCTTGGTGTTAAGTAGACTCTGGATTGCTGGAAAGGAAGGGAAAATTTCTTCTAGGATAAAAGAATGAAATAAACTAAAGACACGGAAATAAGAAAGAGCATTGCATGTCCCACATCATTCAGCACACACTGAATAAATCTCTAGCATAATATATAAGAAAATTGTGGTCTCTGCCCTTAAGGATTTAGAATTGTATGTAAGAGAGAAGATGACTTTGGCTCTTCAGTATCTGTCCTGTATTAACTGGCCTGTATGTTTTAGTTGAATGAATGAATGAACAAATGAGAGATTTATAAGAGAGGAAGGAGCTCTGGTGGCTCAAGGATTAAGTGCTCAACTGCAAATCAAAAGGTTGGCATTTGAACCTAGCATTCTGCTTCCATCAAGATTACAGCCCAGAAAACCCTATAAAGCAGGTACTCTCTGTCATTGGGGTTGCAGAGAGTTGAAAACAACTCAACAGCACCAAAAATAGCAACAACCAAAGAAGAAGGGAGGGAGGGAGGGAGGGAGGAAGGAAAGTTGGAAGATGTACTTAACTTTTTTATGAATCAAAATTTCTAAATGTGGTCTGAGAGTTCAGAGGAGAGAACGTTAATGTGAGTGTATAGGACAACAATGTGGGGATCATATACGTGGGGGCAAAGGCTGGCTTGGCAGGACAGTGCCAGCTAGTCAGCTCCTTTGACCTTTTGGGTTTAATATTGATTGTTCCACTAGAGTTTGTACCATCACCCATTTGACTCACTCTCTTCAGTGACTCTAATTCAACTCTGAGCACATCCATCGAGTCAACAAATCCTTCTGTGCCTTTTTCCCCAGGTGCTGGTGTTTGATTTTGGTAGTGAAGTTTACGTGTGGCATGGAAAAGAAGTCACCTTAGCACAACGGAAAATTGCATTTCAGCTGGCAAAACATTTATGGAATGGAACCTTTGACTATGAGAATTGTGACATCAATCCTTTGGATCCTGGAGAATGCAATCCCCTCATTCCCAGGTATGTTAGTGGTGCTGTAGAGTTCCATGCAGACTAAGCAGAATCCTTTCACCTGTCTCATTTCTCACTGTAGTCATTGACTATTGCTTTTCATAAATTTTTTGTTTTCATAAATGATTATGCGCAGCATAGCATGAATATTCACATCTGAGAACATTTCTTAAAGCTCTTAACAAACTAATATGGATGTTGTAGTCTTCTGGAAGGTGTTTGTGTTATACTTAATTTCTTGAAGTGAACAAATTGTTCCCACCTGCAGCATTCCAGATGCTCATGTAACAGATGAATAGCAATTGTTTAAACAAATTACCTGCTAATTTGAAAAACTTCCCAGAATCTGGAACTCAGCCATTGATCTGAAGAAGGGAGGGAAAAAAAAAAAAAAGCAACAAGTTTTCTTCTCATTTCCTACCTTAGGAACATAGTCCTTAAATTTCAGGATTTCCCAAGTATTTGGTAGTAAGTGGTGTTTAAGCTTTTTTTCTCTTTTTGGCATATGATATTGAAGTCATGATCATGATTATGATTTCCTACAGTGTACAGGACTTTTGAAAATCATTTTGGCAAATCAACAGAATATACACAAAACTTAAGAAATACAGTCATAAGAAAAATAATTTTTTATGCAAAGAAAGCATCGTTTTTAATCTACCAGGAAAGAAAGTATCCTTAAATACAAGTTAGAAATAGATGTACCCACCAAAAACACATTGCCGTTAAGTAGATTCCAACTCATGGTGACCCTATAAGATAGAATAGAACTACCCTAAACATACATAGGGTTTCCAAGGCTGTAATCATTATGGAATGTAATGTAATCATTATGGAAGCAGACTGCCACATCTTTCTCCCATGGAGCAGGTGATGGGTTCAAACCACCAACCTTTTGGTTAGCAACCAAGTGCTTAACCACAGTGCTACCAGGGCTCCTTACAGCACGTAATATTGGGTATCACATAATTATATTTAATATTTTAATATTAAATATATTTAAATATTAAATCTTTTATTTATTTATTTATTTATAAAGTTCCAACTTTCCTACCTAGTTTCCTGTTTTAAAACCCAATGATGTATTTTAATTATCAGTAACAGAAACAAGTATGTCACCATGGGTGAAAAGTTTAAAACTCTTTTCTTTTATTAAACAAATGCGTATTAAACATAACAAAATTAGTACCATAACAACCAGTGTTTTGAAGATTGAAGTTAATTAAGGCTAACAAGAATGTTGTATTTGGCATGGTAGAAGAAAATAATGCTGAAGTATAAATCTATGTGATGGACAATTTATATTTAATAGCAGCATAACCAGAGAGCAGAAAGTAGATGACTAAGCATCTCATCCACTGGTTCTCAACACATCTGAGATCAGAATCACCTGAGGCTTTTTGGAAATGCATGTGCCAGACTGACCCCCAGAGATTTGCTTTTGGTTTGTGTGGGGTGGGGTTTGTGTGCTGGTATGTGATTTTTGTTCTTTTGCTTTGTTCTGTTTTGATGAAAATATATACAATAGATCATACACCTATTCAAAAATCTCTACATGTACAGTTCAATGACATTGGTCACATTCTTTATGTTTTGTGGGCATTCTTACCATCTTTCCCCATGTTATTTCACCACCATTGACTTAGACTCACAACCTCATAAACTACTCATCTGTACTTTAGAGTTAACAATGTCAATTTGATCTGATATAGGTAATTCATGAAAAGAGCTCAGTGTTCAAGGCGAACATTCTTTACTAATTCAGCTAAACTATTGTTTAGTTTTAAGATGACTTCAGGAGATTGTTCAGGATTCAGAAATTTTGTGAGAAGAGATTTAGTGATTCCTTCAGCCTTAGTGGGTTCAATAAGTCTAGATTCTGTAAGAAATTGGGAATTCGGTTACACAAATATCCTCCCTTTTGATCAGGGTACATCTGTTGAGTCCTTGATCCAAATGTTCAGAAATAGCAGCTAAGCACCATTCATTGCTGGTCTCATAGCAAATGAAGCAGTAGTTGATGGAGGAAACTAGACATAGAGTCCAGTCCTCTGCTGCACCAGATGACTGGAAACCAATTGTTGTATCTTGGACTGTCCGTATATTTTAAAAGCCCTAGAGATTTTTAAGGTGCAACCAAGATTGAGCATATGGCACACCTCTTAATGAGGCTGAAACTACTAAGGGGTAATGACAAAGCCTACTTCAAACATAGAAGACCATGATGGAAGTGGAGAAGCCCCCTGGCTCCTGCTCCTAGCTTCAGGCCCTTTACCCTGCAACTTGCTGCCTCTCTTGTTTGCTTGGCTTCAAAACCCAGAAGATAAATTTTGAAAGCTGGTGCCAATAGTCACCTCAGCAGGTCTGCATAGCAGAATTTATATAAGAATCATTCCAATATTTTCTGATAAAGACTACAGCCTTTCAAGGTAGTCCAGAATTTTCTGTACTTGGTTATATTTGATTCTCGAAGCCCTGCTAAAGGAGCTCAGGTGGAGGAGTGGTTAAAGCATTTGTCTACTAACCAAAATGTCAGCGGTTCAAACCCACAAGCCACTCCACAGGAGAAAGAAGAGGCAGTCTGCTTCTATAAATATCTACAGCTTTGCATGTAGTTGAACCTGTGGGCTCAGGACCATAGTCGCAGGAGACATCAAGCTCAATTGGCATAACATACTATGCAAAACATTGTTCTACCTCCTGCTTTGGCAAGTAGTGGCTGGGATCTTAAAAGCTTGTAAGTAGCCGTCTAGATCCAACAATGGGTCTCTCCTCATCCAGAGCAAAGAAGAATGAAGAAAACCAAAGATTCATGGAAACAATTAGTCCTAGTGACTGGTACACCATGCAATCCAAAGAGAAGAACTAGATGGTGCCTGGCTACCACTGTCAACCACTCAGAGTGGGATCTCTGTAGGAGATCCTAGATAGAGAAGGAGAACAATGTGGAACAAAACTCAAAATCATTTGGAAAGAAAATAGGGGTGGGGCAGGTTTGCTAGTCTGATAGAGCTTGGTGGAACCACTGAGACTATGGCCCCTAGCTGCCCTTCAGGTGTAATTGAATCCACACATGTGGCTTCCAGCCAAACAAAAAACAGGCATATGAGTTGAACATTTACCTGAGGTAGATACACTCCTTGGAGAGAACAATCATGGGAGAAAGAAGGGCTGTTCATGCACAGGGAGACAGCTCAGGGGGCAGGTACGCATGGAGGGATGGACACAGGAAGAGGTAACTATGGGGAGGAAGGGAGAGGGGAGCTGTTGCATTGGAGTAAATTATAGTCAATGTCATGAGACAAAGTGTATGTGAACTGCTATATGGAAAGTGAATTTGCTCTGTAAACTTTCACCCAAATCACAATTGAAAAAAAAAAAAAAGATTTACAGCTTTGGAAACCCTAAAGCCAGTTCTACTCTGTCCTGTGGGGTTTCTGAGTCAAAATTGACTCAGTGGCAGTGGGTTTGGTTTGATTTGGGTTTAAAGTCCTGCTAGGCATGAGTCAGAAGTATTTGTGCACTATACTTTGTCTTTTGCATTTCCACTGAAACAGGCAGCCCCCTTGATGTGTCTTTCCTATGGATAGAAACGTAGGTCTAGAGCAAATAAGAAATATAAAGCATGGGTCATAGCAGGTGCACACAGTAGGTACTGTTGGTTCCTTTTGTGGGTCCATATGCCATCCCCACCTCAATTCTCAACCAACAGATTGTGAAGGATGAGAAATACCTGCTTTGATTCCCAGGGCTATACCCTCTATAGTACAGATTTTCTCAGCTCTGCCTTTTTTTTTTTTTTTTCAGTTATATGTGTTTTGAGCATGGTTTTAGATTCTAAAATACTGAGACAGTATAGACCTCTGTAGGGCTGTGAGCTGTCCCGTGTCACAGTGCTGTCCAGGCCTGCTACTATGCACAGTGTCTTGGAAATAAATATTTTAAAATTTACTGTTATATATATCCAACTGATGTGGGAGCTCTGGTGGCATAGTGCCTAAGGAATTTGACTACTAACCAGAAGCCTGGCAATTCAAACCCACCAGCCACTCCTTGGAAGGAAGATTGGGCAAACTACTTCCATAGAGATACTGCCTCAGAAACCCAAGGAGGTGTCACTAAGAGTCAAGTTGACTCAATGGCAGTGAGTGTGTGATATATGGAAAGAAGTTCATTTTAGTAGCACATGAGAATTTCAGTACACAAGAGAAAACCAAAAAAAGAACCAAATTACTGCTATCAAGTTGATGCCAACTCTTAGCAACGCCCATTGGGTTTTGGAGGAGGTAAATCTTTATGGAAGTACATTGCCCCTTCCTCCTTCCACAGAACAACTGGTGGATTTGAACCACCAACCTTCTGGTTAGCAGTTAAATGCCTTAGGCACTGTGCCACCAGAGTTTCTTACTAGAACTTCACTGTAATGTGACTTAAAATAGAGGAGAAATGCAGAGGCAGAGGCCAGGCCGAAGGCCAGAGAGAGGCATGCCTGTGGCATGGTCAAGGCAAGGCTGTCCTGATCGAAGAATTGCATCCTGAGCGTTTCTGAACCTGAATTGTAACCTGTTGCTTCCCTAATAAATCCCATAATTATGGGGGTGCAGGGAAGAGAATTCAGGGTGAGTTACATCTTCCTTACATCTACAGAACCTTCATGAGCACCTATCATTTATCAACCAGTGTAGGGCATATAATCCAGGCCTTTACCAAGGTCACGGTCTAGTGTGCCTGTCCCAGGGGTTCCCAGATTCAAGAATTTGATAGAATGCATAGCCTGATGTGGTTCAGTTGAATTCAGGCACGTAAACTCGATGGATGTTAAGTATTCCCAAGGCTTCAGACTGAAATAATAAAATATTACTTATTTGGTAAAAATAAACCATTCACTAAAATATTTTGAATTTTTTTTCCAATAGCTGTGTATGTTTGGGGAGCTCTGGTGGCATAGTGCCTAAGGCATTTGACTGCTAACCAGAAGGCTGGTGGTTCAAACCCACTAGCCACTCCTCAGAAGGTTGGGCAATCTACTTCCATAGAAACCTAAGGAAGGGTCACTATGAGTCGGATCTGACTCGACGGCAGTGAGTTTGGTTTTTGGTTTGGTGTGTGTGTGTTTTAGATTCCTTTGTTTTAGCATGACTTAATCTTGGTTCTTTTCTTGTCCATTCCCACATCTCCCTGCAGAAAAGGACAAGGGCGGCCTGATTGGGCGATATTTGGGAGACTTACTGAACATAATGAGACAATTCTGTTTAAAGAAAAATTTCTTGATTGGACAGAACTGAAGAAACCAAATGAGAAGAATGCCAGTGAACTCGGCCAGCAGAAGGTATATTCCTTGTGCCTGCCCTGTGTACTCAGAGCTTCCTTTGGTTCCCAGCAACAGTGGACTTGAAGCTAAAAGCCTTCCCAGGGTGTGCTAGTAGGACAGCAAACTGGCATCCAACTATATTCTAAGTGCAACCCAAAACCAAACCCACTCCTATCAAGTTGATTCTGACGTGGTGACCCCCCCCAGTGACCTTTCAAGGCAGTAAATCTTGATGGAAGTAGAATGCCCCATCTTCCTTCCACAGAGTGGCTTGTGGGTTTGAACTGCCACCTTTCTGGTTAGCAGTCAAATGCCTCAAGCACTATGCCACCAGAGCTCCTTATCTGATTGTAGGAGGTGACAATCACCTCTGCCAGGAATGGACCAGGTCTCTGGGCACCCTCTTCACTGGTGTGACAATGGGTACTTGGGCCTCTATGAGCTTTCCTGTAAATGCAGTTAGACACCCTGTGACAGTCTGAACACAGTACTTTGACACTGGCCCGTTGACAACTGAAACAGCATTGACTATGACAAGAAACCGCTCTAAAAAGAGATGCAACTGAACAAACATTTTCATGTCCCCTGGTAGGAAGATCCTCGGACTGACATCAAGCCATACGATGTGACACGGATGGTGCCGGTGCCCCAGATAACTGCCGGCAGTGTCCTGGATGGGGTGAACGTGGGCCGTGGCTATGGCCTGGTAGAAGGAGATGACCGGCGGCAGTTTGAAATTGCCAGTGTCTCGGTGGATGTCTGGCACATCCTGGAGTTCGACTACAGCAGGCTCCCCAAACAGAGCATCGGACAGTTCCATGAGGGGGATGCCTATGTGGTCAAGTGGAAGTACATGGTGAGCACTGCAGGTTAGTGAGCACTTCTCTTCTCTTCAGGCTGACAGTGGCCCAGTCAGCTGCACAGTGGGGAATCACAGTGCTGCTAGAGCAGAACAGCCGGTACCTGCTGTGTTCTGGAGTCCCTGAGTGGTGCAAACAGTTAACACGCTTGGCAGCTAACCAAAAGGTTGGAGGTTCGAGTCTTCCCAGAGGTGTTTCAGAAGAACGGCATTCTCTTTCTGACAAAATGAGCCATTGAAAATCCTACAGAGCACAGTTCTACTGAGACACACACGGGGTCACTGTGAGTCAGACTCCAGGTGACTGTTTTGTTTTTTTTTTCTACTTGCTGTGTTTTACCCACAGCTGGATGGGGATAATGCAGAAATCCAGTCATGTATTTCTGAGAACCTCTTACCACCTCTTGTAAGAAGCTCTGGTGGTGTAATGGTTAAGGTATTTGGCTACTAACCAAAAGCTCAGTGATTTGAATCCACCAGCTGTTCTGTGGTAGAAAGATGAGGCAGTCTGCGTCCATAAAATCTTACAGCCTTGGAAACCCAGTAGGGGTTGCTATGAGTCAGAATTGACAGCAGTGAGTCTGGGTTTTGGTACCAACCCTTAGAGACTGGGGGTGGTTGTGGGGGGGTGGGGAGGTAGAATTCCTAACACCTGTGATGTTTTCTCATAGAAGCTAAACTTATATGTCACAGTTTCTCTACCACCCTCAATCCCACTCCCTCTCTTGTCCCTGGAGGTTTTCTATGAAAGTGATGATTTGTGCCCAGTGATATTTACCACTCAGCTCTACACTGCTTAAATTAAAGTCACTAAAGAAAGCATATCTGGGTGATTTAAAACGGAAACCAAATGACAAATTAAAACTCTAGGTAAGAAACTCTTTATGGTAAATACACATTCAAAAGATTTATTAAAAATAAAAGAAGTTATTTCCTCTGAGGCTAAGAGTACTAACAGTGCTTTGTGGTTCTGGTGTAATAAATGTATAGTCAAAACTCTTCATGGTTCCCATTGAGGATACACTGTTTATAACAAAAACACTTCCGTGAATGCTTTCTGTACTAGAGGCAATGAGGGGGAAGGAGAAGTAGTGAGCTTTGGATACAGGTCCTTTCCCTTGCCAAGAAGGAGCAGTAATCCACAATTTGCCCTCATCCTTACCCGTTTAGAAGGAGCTCTGGTGGCATGTTGGTTATAGCATTTGTCTGCTAACCAAAAGGACATCAGTTTGAACCCATCAGCCTTTCCACAGGAGAAAGATGAGGCAGTCTACATCTGTAAAGATTTGCAGCCTTGGAAACACTATGGGGCAGTTCTTGTCTGTCCTGCGGGGTCTCTGTGAGTTGGAATTGACTCAATAGCAGTGGGTTTTTACCCATTTAGGAAAGAGTGTTTATGTCACAACTCTGTGATTTTGAGACCCAATGTCCAAAAGAGTTTATTCAGCTGTGCAAGGCCCTTTGCCATCTGAGAAGGTCCTTAGGGGGCAGGCAGTTTGAGCTCAGCTGGTAACTGCAGTTTGAACCCACCCAGCAGCACCACAAGGAGCTCTGGTGGCACAGTGCCTAAGGCATTTGACTGCTAACCAGAAGGTTGGCAGTTCAAATCCACCAGCCACTCCATGGAAGGAAGATGAGCCAAGTTACTTCTGTAAAGATCTACTGCCTTGGACACCCAGTGGGGCTTGCTATGAGTTGGAATCAACTCAGTTGCAGTGGGTTTGGCAGCACCACAAAAGAAAGGCCTGGCAATCTGTTTCTGTAAAGATTACAGCCAAGAAAACCCTATGGAGCAGTTCTACTCTGACACACATGGGGTCACCACGGCTCAGAGTCTTTGGCTTTGATTTTTTTGCCATCTAGATGTTGCTGCCCTCAGGAGCTCCCAGAAACATACACAGGTCTTGCTAAAGACCTGCAGATTTATAACCATTTGTTTTCTCTCCTGATTTATGAAAAACAAAAAAAGAAGCAGCCTATTAATCAACCTAGATTTACTAAGCACTGTGTAGGAGGATTTTTAGGGACTAAATAAATATTTCAGACCCTGCCTTCCAGAAGAGAAGCTTCTGGTATGAATGACAATAAAGAAAGTATAGTGAAAGAACATTTAATGCTGTATGAGGAGAGCTAGAATCACTTAGCTTGGGTTTGCCAGCAGTGGAAGAAGCTCCGCAAACCCAGAGCTGGGCAGCAAATGGAAGGAGCTTTCCTGAGCATGGCAGCAGGGTAGTGAAAGAGGTTCTGTGGGTGGGCAGGATGGCTGCAGGGCCTGGAAATCTGCTTTCCCACCAGGCATGGTGCTGAAGGTTCTGCCTGCTGCTCTGAGGGCCTCATAAGAAGATAGAGCTGGGCAGGAAAGGCAGAGCAAGATGAGGTAACTTGCTTGAAGTCACTTAGCTGGTAGAGAGCAGAGCTGGAAAATCCCCAAATCCAGGCCTGCTTCTTTTCAAAACCCAAGTTTGTTTAAAAAAAAAAAAAAAACACGTTGCTGTGGAGTCAATATTCAAAAAAGAAACTCACTGCCATCAAGTTGATTCTGACTCATAGTGACCCCCATTGGGCTTCCAAGGCTGTAAATCTTTACAGAAGTAGGATCATTCCATCTTCCTTCCATGGAGCAGCTGGTGGGTTTGAACTGCTGACCTTCTGGTTAGCCTCATCCACTATGCCACCAGCTCTCCTTGGAGTATTAACGTATTAACCACTATCATTCTGCCTGCAGGCAGGGAGTCAGTGTGGGCCCGAGAAGAGGAGAAGAGGATGTGGGGAACGCTAGGAAATCAATTGCAAGGAAGAATGGATGAGCCTAGTCACCATGAAAGTAAACGGGGACAAAAGAAAAAAAAAAAAAAAAAAACCCTCACTGCCATCAAATCAGATCCGACTCATAGCAGCTCCTCCTTGGGTTTCTGAGGCAGTATCACTACGGAAGTAGGTTGCCCAACCTTCCTTCCAAGGAGTGGCTGGTGGGTTTGAACTGCCAGCCTTTTGGTTAGCAGTCAAATGCCTTAGACACTGTGCCGCCAGAGCTCCTACCATGAAACTAGTGCCATGAAACTAGTAGCCTCTCTTAAACAACCACTGAACAGGAATGGGACCTGCCAGAGTCTCAGGCAGAGCCGAGCCTACAGCTGAGCACCTCTCCTCTAGGGAGTAGAAGAGTAGGTACCTTGAGTTGGTCCAGTTACAGGGTATTTTTCATCTACTTAATTCTTCAGGAACCAACAGAGCAGCCTCCTTCTCTCACGTGAGGTAGGCCACAGGCCCTGGAGCCCTGTTGATTGGGCTCTAGTCACCAGCTATGCAAGTTGGATAAAGTTACTTGACCTGTCTGAGCCTCAGTGTTCTCATCTGGGAAATAAGGATGATGGTTCTCACTTTCACAGAATGGAAAATGCAGGTACTGGGCACACATGGTAGCTGCAGGAAATAGTCACCAATGACATTCTTAGCAGCAACAGCCTAAGTATTGTGCTTAACTTGGAGATGAACTAACAGGTCTATCACAACGTCATAGCAATTACCCAATAGTCACTAGAATGGATTTAAGAGCCTTGGTCTGATGCAGAGTTAACAAGCCAAAATAATAATCTGTGCCATTAATTGGTGATAAAAACAATAATTGGAAATTTAGGTGGGGGGGACTCATTTTTGGAGTTGAGGAAGTGGGAACAGGCACTAGCTAGATAGTTTCCCATCTTTAATTACAGAAAGGAACTGCATGTTTTAAAAAGGGTTATTGTAGTTTGAAATTGATTTTCTTACCTTCATTGTTAACAGTGAGAAAGAAGGAATAGGAAGTAAATGGATGAATGGAATTACATTAAAGCAAACAGGAAAAAAAAAAAAAAGATCTTCATAGACTATTTACTTGAAGGGCCCTAAGAAATAATGACTTGACCTAGGCAAATGTTTTCTGTATTTCTTCCTAAATGGGCATCTCACAGCCAGATCTAGCATTATCTTTATGAGCGGAGTTAAAACTATGAAAAAGTCCAGCTGTGGAGAATTAAATTTGAGCGGAGAGCATTCGGATTCCAGACCCTCTCTCAGGAGCAGTAAAGCACAGGCCTGTGGCATTTACATTCACTCCATAGCTAGTATGGAGGAACTGGCCCATTGGTGACTGCTAATCCAGCCCCAGGTGGGAGCAATGGTTAAGCATGGTTACTAACCAAAAGGTTGGCAGTCCAAAACAACCCCGTGATTCCTCAGGAGAAAGACTTGATGACCTGCTCCCATAAAGGTAACAGCTTAGAAAACCCCATGGGGTGGTTTTACTGTGTCATATGGAGTCACTGTGAGTCAGAATTGACAGCACCTAGCAACAACAACGGTCATCCCCCCAGGAGTGGTGCCTTACAGACAGGACTGAACATGGAGCTCTAGAGCCTCTCCTGGGACAAGGTCAGCAGGCAACAGCAGCTGTAGAAGCAGTAAATCTTACTACGGTGGACACTGGCCAGCTTGCCCAGGCACACATGAGAGCACCATGAAAAGTGAACCATGGGGCCCAAAGAAGTGTGAGCTAGAAGGGTGAGGCTCTGGGGGTTGGTGTTCTACCCTACTGACCCACCTCAGGTGCTACAGGCACCCATTATATTCCTGAGCAATTGGGAGTAAGCTGATTACAGTACATGATGCTGGGTCAGGCCTTATGAAAGATTCATACAGGCAGAGCTTGTGTAAGTGCATGATCAGTACATTAAGTTTTGGTGCAAGTCTGCTTGACCTTGAACACATCTTCATACTTTAGTTTTCTGTTGATAATAAACTGAGAACTATTGGTAGCAAACTTAGTCTTGAAAGTATTTTGGTGGCATGATGCAACTACACATTAAATTAGGCATCTGATTAATCAAGGCTTATTCTTATTACACCTACTCCTTACTTATTGACTATCTCATTATCCGATATTTCACATTTATGACAATAGTAAAAAAAATAAATCTATTATCCAACTATTTTGTACATTAGCAGTGTGTATTTGGCAGTAACAGATGTCGAGGTACAAAATGACAGTAATACTGGCTGTGGTGGTTAAAGTTATATACATCAACATGATTCTCAGTAGTTAGGCAGTTATATAATGGTATAATCTGGCAGTTACGTATTGATGTAGTCATCCTCCATTTTAGCATAATGCTGATTTTTGCATAATGACCTGGTCTTTGGAATCTAACTGTGTTGATAAGGAGTGAGTGTAATAAAAACTTAATCTTAACTTGGCTAAAATTGAAAATAAACAAATGAATTAAAAATAAAGTTGTGTATAAGATTAAATTTGGTATGTTGAGGAAAATTAGTGAAGACTCTGTCTTATGAAATACTGCAATTCTATTTTAAGTACATACTGGTAGCATAGTGGCTAAGACACTTGCCTGCTAACCAGACGGCTGGCGGTTCAAACCCACCAGCCACTCCTCGGAAGGAAGGTTGGGCAATCCTACTTCCATAGTGATACTGCCTCGGAAACCCAAGGAGGGGTCGCTATGAGTCAGGGCCGACTCGATGGCACATAACAACAACAACAACAACACTCAAGTCTATTTTAGATTCTTAGGATGTAATGGCTAGTTATTTATGCATGAATATATAGTTACATGGCATATTAGAATATTAACAAGTTTTAAGGTATGTATAAATTTCCATTATCTATTTTAAGCATATATATTTCCAATAACCTAATTGAGCCTAGTAATTTTTATTACTTTGAAGAATGGGATCGCTAATCAAAGAGAAACTTTTGTTTCTGTCTAAATTAGCAGAAATGTCCATTGAATGCCTTCCAAATTAATTAAAGATATTTACAATCTATTCATTGCTTGTTCTTACTTCATTTTGCCCACTCAAAAATGCACAAACTCGCCTGGATCAGATTCACAGTCGATGTCACTAAAGACTGTGCTTATTCTAAATACTTCGAGAAATAATTATAAATTTATCAACACTGTTTTGTACAATACTTGGCTCAAAAGAGGACCAATAAATGCTCTGACCTCTTAGGAACTTAAAATAAATGAGTGGGTTTTTTGTTTTGTTGGGGTTTTTTTTTTTTCAACCTTAAAACCTCAATATAGCTGTCATTTTATAAATCAGATGTTTTTGTTGTTGTTATTTGCCATCGAGTTGGATCCGACCCATAGCGACCCCTCCTTAGGTTTCTGAGGCAGTATCACTATGGAAGTAGATTGCCCAACCTTCCTTCCAGGGAGTGGCTGGTGGGTTTGAACCGCCAGCCTTCTGGTTAGCAGTCAAGTGCCTTAGGCACTATGCTACCAGAGCTCCCATAAATCAGATAGGGGCTGGAAAAAATTAACAGGAATTAATATGGAGTCAGAGAATCCAAAGTTAGTTTAATGAATTTTTAATGTGCATGGGTGTCATACCTACCTGCATTCTCTCTTCGTTCACTTAGTGAGACCACCTAGATAATTCAGTCAAGAATCTGGTCTCCTGATCCTCCACCTAGAAGGTTCTGCCTCCAGATTATTGCCATTCAGGCCTGAGCTCATAAGTCACCCACCTCCTCAGACAGACCATCGGCACCCCACCCTACCCTGTCAGATCTTCATAGCACTTTTTATTACCTGAAATTATCTACCTCATCTATTTGCTTATTGTTCATCTCTCCTAATTAGAAAGCTTAGCAGGCCCCAGCAAGATATGAACTTGCGACCCCTGGTTTACAAGACCAGTGCTGTAACCCCTCTGGTAGCATAGTGGCTAAGGCACTTGACTGCTAACCAGAAGGCTGGAGGTTCAAACCCACCAGCCACTCATCGGAAGGAAGATGGGGCAATCTACTTCCGTAGTGATACTGCCTTGGAAATCCAAGGAGGAGTCACTATGAGTCGGGTCTGACTTGATGGCACATAACAACAACAATAACCTAATTAGAATTGAAGCAGGGACCTCATCTGTCTTGTTCATTGTACCCCCTAGAGTGTCCTAGGAGCTCTGGTAAATCCACTAGCCACTCCTCGGAAAGAAAATTGGGAAATCTACTTCCATAGTGATACCACCTCGGAAACCCAAGGAGGGGTTGCTATGAGTCAGATCCGACTTGACGACAGTAAGTGAGAGAGTGTCCTACGGTCCCTGGCACGTAGTAGGTGCTCAGTAAATATTTGTTGAACAATTGAATGAGGGAAATGTAGAGTTAAATATTTTCCTAAAGTTAGAGATTTTAAGGTCTGAAGTGCTGTCTAAAATGACCGTTTGACCAATTAACTTTCCATGACTGCTCTTCAGAGTCAGCAGTTAAATCTGCTTTATGTACTCAGTGAATGTTTATTGAGTGCCTACGAGGTGCCAGACAGTAAGGATAATATGCACTTAATCCAGACTACAGCTCTGGTGACAGATATTATTTAAATCCCAGATTATTTTTTTGAAAATGATAGGTCAGCAATTTATCTGTTCCATTTCTGACAGAACTTGGAAACCTCAGTTTTCTTTTTTCACTTAAATCACTTAAACAGTCTTTTTGCCTTTGTGCTTGATGCTGGTCCAGCTGTTATTGTCAATATCTCTTCCCTGCTAGTTAATCTTCTGCCAAAGAGGGGCATAATGTGGAAAATGAGTGTGTGTCTTTGCAAGGCCTGCTCTCACTCATCATCTTTCTTTGTCACACACTTGGAGAGGTCCACAGTCTTCCTCCAAGAGTGACAGGTGGTTTTCTCAGGTATCAAGAGGACCCTTCAGGTTGTTTTTCTCCAGTTTGGAAGCTCTGGGTCAGTTTGCTGGAAGAAAGGTGGTTTTTCTCCTCCTGTGGGATGATTTACATTCTCTCCGGGTGAATGATTCCTCCTCTGACACATATCCCGAAGCATTCTCTTTACTGCTTGTCCTCTCAGGCCTTGAAGATTAAGCCATTGCTTTGCTCTTCCTGTGGTGTGTCAGTTACTTGCCTTATGCTCTGCTGTTCTGTTCTGTTTGCAGTGGGTAGTCGGCAGAAGGGGGAGCATCCAGTGAGGGTGGCCGGCAAAGAGAAGTGTGTCTACTTCTTCTGGCAAGGCCGGCACTCCACCGTGAGCGAGAAGGGGACATCAGCACTGATGACTGTGGAGCTGGATGAAGAAAGGGGTGCCCAGGTGAGCCCCAAAAGATAAATGGGAACTTCTGCCTTGTCCTGTCCAGGGAGCTGGGGGATGTGTGGTCTGGTCCCTGACAACCTGATTCTTGTGAACAAATGCAGTGTCATCCAAAGCACTTAGCATCCTGCTCTGGCTCCTGGTGCCTCAGATTCACTGTCCCCACAGCTCAGCCAGGAAGGCCCCCTGGTTGTAAGATGATTTGAAACAAAATGTTGTATCTGTAAGTTGTAAATTCTCAAAATCAGAATGAGTAGTCAATGGGTGTTTTAAAAAAGTTCCCACCTAACTAATAATTGAGATTTTTTTCACTGAAGCAGAGAGTGATTTTCCGTGTCTATAACTAGTAGAGATCTGTTGAAAAAACAGATCTTTGGCAGTCATACAGTAGGATGGGTACCCTCGTTTGCATTTGTCTATTGGGAAGTATAACTTGGTACAGCCATTCTGAAAAGCAGTTTTGACTCAAGAACCTTAAAATGCTTATGAACTTTGACCAGCTCTTCCCCTTACACAAGGTCACTCACTCACTGTCGTCGAGTCAGATCCGACTCATAGTGACCCCCCTTGGGTTTTTGAGGCAGTATCACTACGGAAGTAGATTGCCCAATCTTCCAAGGAGTGGCTAGTGGGTTTGAAACACCAGCCTTCTGGTTAGCAGTCAGATGCCTTAGGCACTATGCCACCAGAGGTCCTACATAAGGTAATTCTAAGGAAATACCATAGATTACTGTAAAAATCAAGTATTCTAATTGTCTGTCTTACAGCAGCCCAGGTGATTTTTCTAGAACATAAATCAGACTAGGACACTTCTTTGCTCTGTGTCACACTTGGATACAATCAGTTTCCCAGTGTTCTGCCAGGACCTTCATGGTCGGTCCGCACCCCTCTCCTGTCCCCTCCCATGCCACTCCAGCCATGCTGGAGTCTGAGGCACAGTCTTGCTGTACCTCAGGCACCCTTCTTTTCCTCCCACCTCAGAGCCTATGCACTTTCTGCTTTCCAAATCTGGATGCATTCGTAACTCTCAACTTCATATGATGCCACCTCTCTATTTTATCCAAATCACTCAATATCCCCCTATCATTCCCTGTCACGTTACCATGCTTCATTTTATTGGGCAATCTCCTTCCGTAGAGATACCGCCTTGGAAACCCAAGGTGGGGTCGCTATGAGTCGAATCGACTCGATGGCAGTGAGTTTGGATTTTTTTGTTTGTTCTCTCTCTTTTTTTTTTTTTAATTGTGATTTGGGTGAAGATTTACAGAGCAAATTCACTTTCCATACAGCAGTTTACATATACTTTGTCTCATGACTTTGAC